TGATACCAATTTTTAAGTGTTTTGCCGTTGTTCTTTTTTAATTTTCCAAACCTACAATGATAGGACTTACAGCATGACGATAACAACCTGGAGGGTTTTCTGTGTTGCAGCAATTGCTCAGGAGATCCTGGTATATATTAGCAATTCTTAAAAGCTCTGGTATAGACAGATCTGGATGATTCCTTGAGTATTCATAAGTAAATCTGCAATGTGTAAAAATATTTTGTATATTATAATTTAGAAAAAGAGCAAAACACCAAATCCTACTATCTTTTAATCTGGTCAGATCTTTTAATACTGAGTCTGCTTTCAAATGCTAAGCTCTCCTCTGGTTTGGTCAGGGAGTGATTTAAGAGGACATTTTACCTATAGAAGACCATTTTATTAATACAAAAGTTCTCTTCCATGTTACGTTTTAGACTAACAATGTTTTTCACTTGGGAGAAGGATAGAATTACCAGAGTTAATTGTTAGAATGGTTTAACCCACAAAGCATCAGAAACAATATATTGTGTCATTGGTACTTTAGAAAATACATGTTGAGTATAATTATGTCGGAGAATACATTCAGACTTCCACCTTGGGATGCTGGGAATAGGGCTAGCTTCTCACTCCCAGTGTGGTCTTGGTGAGAGATGGGAGCAGCCTTTGCCCATTACTCCATCTTGCCTCTTGCAAAATATGGGAGCATCCACCCCTTCAGCTGTAAATCATTAGCAGTGGTCTCTATGGTCTCAGTCAGAAGTTTCAAGAGTGTAGGTGAACATGATTTGGGGAGAAAACAGGAAAGAGAGGAAAAGGAGGCTAACACTAATTAAGCCCTCAGAGGTGGTAGGCACAGGATCAAGCTTTGTGCATAAAAGATAGAGATATGCTTCCTGGCCTTCACAAACACTTTCTTATTTAGCTTCACTTAGGCCTCAAAATAAATACTATTTAACATGAGAAAAATAAGTCACAGACTGGTTAAGCACCCTGCTATTAATGGAAGATACAAACCTCGATTTGACCCTAGGTCCCATGGGCTGTCTACACCAGTCTTTTCTATACCAGTTGACTCTTGTCTCAAGAGAGACACATCTTCTCTAAGTACCTCAGTTATGTTAGTTTTACAGTCTTCTTCAGAAAAGAATCTCATCTATTCATTCACAATAAGTTAAGATATTCCATGTTTTGTGAAAGTAACATTTTACAAAAGATTTTCATGACCAAGTAACTCTTTTCATCCCCCCGCTTTTTTTCTACAGTCTTTGATCTTCTCAGTCCCATTTGTGAGATATATTCCCACACCCTAAAGCAGTGGTCTTAACCTTCAGAGAAATAGGGCTCCTCTTAATATTTGATGTAAGCCATAGGCTTCTTCCCAGGAAAAAATAAAAACACACATAGAAACACTTCCCCAAAATGTTGCAATCAAAAAATCCTGGAAGCCTACTCTAGGAGGGGGAATCCATTGAGGTCTTGCCTCAAATGGTTACATCCAGAAAGACATAAACACTTTAAAACTCTGTTCTAACTCAGCATGCTCATTGTTACTCAATCATTTCTCCCCAGGCTTCGAATACCATCTGTGTTGTAATAGTGACGATAATGCAGATGGTGGTGATGATGATGGTGATGATGGTAATAAAATGGCTTCCATTTATGGAGCACATATGTCAGGTATAATCTATCATTTTGTTTAATTTAATTTCACTTCATAGCCACAACTTGTGAGATGCAATAGAGCACGGTGGTCATCAGACCAGGAGTCTGAAGCCACACTTCCTGCATTTGAATCCTGGCCATGCCACATATTAGCTGTGTGACTCTGGGGCAAGCTATTTAACCTCTCTGTGCCTGTTTTGTCACCTGTAAAATGGGGATAATAAAGTTATATTAACCTTAGAGGGTGGTTTTGAAAATTCAATTGGTTAGTAGATAAGAAACACTTAAAATTTAGTAAGCATTCAATAAACATTAGTTATTATGTCATGTTATCTTCCACCCAGACCTCCTTCTAGTGCTCCGGGTTCACATATATAACAGTTTCCTGATAGTCCCAATTAGTTATCCTACCTACATCTCAAAATCAATGTGCTCAGACCTAAATATATTCTCTTCCCCATAAAATCTGCTTTTTCATTCATATGTCCCATCTCATTGGAGGGGAAAACTACCTACACAGTCATCTAAGCCCCAAACTGGGATTCATTCCAGATGAAGTTTCTAAAAAATAAAGGTGATTTTTTCCTTCTTTATTCTTCAGTGAAAATCATTCGCTGGGATCCCATCACTTAGTCTGCCTACACGATTGGCCCCGCCCACTCACACCACTCTGGCGTTTCACCACCTTGCTGACAGCCACATACACACCAAGCAGAGTCACACTTCTATCCATGCTGTCCCTCCTTGTCTAGAGCACCAAAATTTCTTCAAGTACCACCTCCCTATCAAGCCTTTCCAGGGTCCCCATGCACAATTGACCACTTCTTCTTCTGTCCCCTACATTACGTAGATCATAGTGCCATTAGAAATAAAAGAACCTTTTTTGCACTTATTTATTTATATATTTGTCTCTTCTCACATTATACTCCCTATAGAGAAGGTTTCCTGGAGGTAGAAACCCAGCAAAATCCCTGGATTATATTTCACTACCAATAAATGAATGAATGAATATTCTTACATGAAGTTTATATGTGACGAAATAAAGCACAGAACGGTTAACTTGTCCCAGTGACTCACCCAGGACTCAAATTGAGTCCCTGTGGTTTCAAATCCACTAGTCTTCCCCTTAACAGCTGTGGGGGGAGATAGCACAGATATTAATCCCACAATTTCTTAAGCCAGACCTCCTGGGCTCAAATCCTTACTCTGTCATTTTTTAGCTGTAAATCTTGAACAAGTCACTTCATTGTATCTCAGTTTGCTCATCTGAAAAATTGGGGGAAATTGTACTTAATTTTACATGATTGCTGTAAGAATTAAAACAGATAATCTATATAAAGTATTTAGCCCAGTGCCAGGCATATATCAAGCACTCAGTAAATGTTAGCCATTACTTTAATAACACAGTTGTTTTTTTCTTAAAATTATGTGAAAACACTATAGTCTATAGTAGCCATATTTTTTAAAAATTATATGATACCCAGTGAAATAAATAGTTCCATATCCTTCCACCCAAATGAGCCAACAGAGGCCAATTCTTACAAGTTTCTGTTTGCTTTATAAATTTCAATAAAGAGTGATATTACTCAGCAAAGAAGTTGTCTGGGTCAGTATCTCGTTCTTGACATATATTTTCACTGTCAGTGAATTTTGCTTCTCTTAAATCCTTTGGTCTGTCATCTTTGTTTGAGTTAATTATGCATTCGCCACGCTCTGGCATTTTCTTTTCACAGCACTCTTTGATTTTGCTGGAGATGGAGTCTTGTTTTGAACAAATGTGGTTCATAACCTTGCTCTGTGCCAAATAAGAATGAGAAGTGATTTCATGTTCAAAACTTCTTCAGGGCTGGGTTATCTTTCACAATGGAATGGTGGCATACAAAACCAGTCATGAGCATAACATCTGGAATCATCATCTGCTAATTTAATAGATTATATTCATTTAAATTTTTTTTTCACTTGATACATATGAAGTTTTACATTAATGCAAGCTTTATCAGGATTCAAGATGCTATAACTATGAAAAAATGGCTCTACTATCAATTACATTCATTGCTAAGTATTAATCTTTTCAATACTTTCCCCCTACTCCTCTGCTATATTGGCATTGTATGCTCTAAATGTAGTTTCTTTTCAATAAGAGTGCACCTGTGTTTTCAATGGAGGCCACCAAAGACATGTTACTGTAATATCTATAATCCTCATCATCTCTTTTGGCCTGAAACTACATTGCCAAGCATATAGCAAAAACTCAATGAATATTTGATAAGCGAATGAAAGAATGGCAAACGAACGAACCACTATAGCAATTACCAGATGACAATTTCTCAAATATAAGAAGCTATTATACTCATGGTATCATTTTCCCATGGCTATCATTCATTTGAAGCTATTCAAGTCATCAAACAGTGTACAAAATGGAAAACCTTGCTCTGGCCCCCATTCCTACCCTTCACCGCAGTTCTAACCTCTACTTAAAGTTTGGGAATTCAGGAGAGGGTGAGGTTATCTGATTTACACATTAGTTGGATAATTGCTAAAAACTGATCTGGCCCCTGGTCCCCTTTCCAGACTCTCCACAACGAGCTGCACATTCTTCCTCCTTTCTGGTCCAGCCTGTGCTGAACTATGTTGGGTTTCATCAACACACCAAGCTATTTCAAGCCTTCATGACTTTACTCAAGCTCTTCCCACTGACTAGAATCATCTGGTGACCACTGAGGGTGAGGAGGGGGAGGAAGCTCAGGGCTGAGGTGGAAAGTGGAGTGGGAGTTGGCACCACCGTGTTCCCAGCAGGCCACATGGAGCCAGGGAGCCAGTCTTCGCGTAGACATTCACATGTCACCTGAGGCCTTCATGGCCTAAACAGAGCACCTCTTATTCTCTGAGAATTTACTTCTATTTTCAATTAACTGTAATTCAATTGCTCTTATTTCTCCATAAAGGCATTAAAGAGATGGAAATTTGTGATATAATGTGATCCCTTAGTCTCGCTCCAAACTTCACAGAAAATCTACAATTTTATCATAATTCAGTACATTAGATTTAAAATTATAAAACCTACATCCCCATAAACAATCAAACAATATAAAAATAACTCGCAAGTGAGATTGCTTTAAGTGGGAGTACAGCTAGGGAAAAAATTCTTGGGTACCTCTGTTGTCCACTGCTTGAAATAAAATGGACATTTCTTAATAGTCTAAAATTCAAGTTATTTAATTAACATACTATCTTCACTATGAGTCTAAAACACTTAAACAATTAAAAGCTACCAAGATAAAGCCTAATTTCAACTAAGAAGATGTCAGGACATTTTTAATAAAATTGTATTTCCTTTGAGTGCATGAACAATTTAAACTATGCTAGAGACATATTTATCAATATATTTCCTTAGAGAGTCACTTTAAAGGTTACCAGAGCAGGGAGGCTGGGGGACTAGGGAGGTGATACTCAAAGGACACAAAATTTCAGCTAGACAGAAGGAATAAATTCAAGAGATCTACTGTACGTCATGGTCATCACGGTGACTATAGTTGACACCGATATATTGAGTACTTGAAAACTGCTAAGAGAGACTTGAAGTGTTCTCACCACAAATAATAATAATAATAATAACAGTAAATATGTGAGGTAATGTCTATGTTAAATAGCTTGATTTAAACATTTGCTCTGTGTGTGTATGTATGTGTCTGTATCAAAGTATCACATTGGACCCCATAAGAAAACACAATTTTTGTCAATTAGGAAAAATGGAAGGAGGGAAAAGAAGGAAGGAAGGGAAAAAGGAAGGGAGGAAGGGAGGGAAACAAAGAAAGGAAGGAAGGAAGGAAAGAGGAAAGGAGGGAAGGACGAAAGGGAGGAAGGAACGAAGGAAATTTTAAAATTAATGTATCTACTTATTTGGAAAGACTACATAAATAGCCTGAGGAATCTCAGAGAAAGCAGGTCTTAAAAACATAGTGACAACAAGTCACCCCCTGAGCTTCACTATTAATTTCTAACATCTCTAAAAGAGGATTTGTAATGTAAAAAAAAAAAAAACTTCAATCTAGACTAATGAGCTTTCAAAAATTCCTGAAGTTTTACATCAAGACATTTAGCCATATAAGATACAATCTGCTGAGTAATCTTTAAAAATTCCATGTATATCTGTAGGGGAAGCCTGGAATCCTATTAAAAAATTAAATTAATTATTTATTTAACAATTTATTAACATTGTTAATTATTCAACAATTTATTATTACTCGACAATTTATTAACATTCTGATTTCATTATGGCAAAGTAACCACACATCAGGGTAACTTCGGAATAAAAAATGGTTACCAAACATCACTATTTTTACTTGGTTTTAGAGAATATTTACCGTGTCACGGATGCACTGGACAACATCCCCCTCACAACATCCTTCATACTTGGAAGAAACATCTTCTATGAGGGAGGTAAGTTCCTTAAATTCAATCTTCGGAAATTTTTGACTGAGTACAGCAATATTTCTGGAAGGAGAATTGATAAATCACTAAAATAATTCGATCAGCAAGTAAAACAGGTGGGAGTCCTTTACTAATACAATATAAATAGCTCCCAAAAGCATTGCTACTGTTGATTTATTACAGAAGTCTTTATCAAGTAGATGATGGCGGGTTGCACAGCCTGAAAAATCACTAATATTAGGCTGATATTTTGAGCCCCACAGAATCCTGAATACGAGCAAACAAAAAGCTCTGAGAGATGCGCTCTCTTCTATAATCATTATAGCAGCACACTTTGTGGAAGGGCCACCACTTCCTATTGTGAGCCCATGGCAAACATAGATAATCCTTTCCTGCTGACCTACTTGAAATCTCAAAAGTTTTCTCAAGACATCACTCTAGCACCATTACTAATTGGTTAGAGTGAACACTAGAGATACAATTTATCCATGCGAGGTTGTCTCGTCATCATCAAGGTCAAAGATCAATGGATAAGTCATGTTTTTTAAAGCACTTGAAGGGGTCTTAAAACCCTGGTTGGGAACTCCCAGACCAGTTCACAGTTCCAATGAACCAAAATATATCTCAGAAGTAGCCCCCTTTCTCTTTGGCGGTCTCCCCACCTCCCAAGTCTTCTCTCATCTGACCTAACGTTCTGGGTCTGAGCTATCCATGTAGGCTCAGACCCACCTAGTTCCCTGGGATACTAGGAAGATTATAAATAAAAAGTCATCAACCATTTAACAAAAGTGGGACACAGCCAAGAAAAGCTAATATAGACAAGATACATAGTATAAAACTCACATAAAGTTTAAGACTTTGGTTCCAAATTTCAAATATGCCCCACAGACATTCTTTTGATAAGAAGAAAATGCTTTTAAATATTGGATGACAGCTGCTGCCTGAAGAAGAAAAAGAAAATTCTTTTGAAACAAGAGCAAAATCTCACTATTCTCTTGTTTTTTTTAACTACATGTCAATCAAACTATTACAAAGTTTGTTCAGCGACAGGAAAATCTATGAAACTTTTTATCTTAGTAAACTTACATACCAAAAGAAATATGCGTTTGTGGCACATTACACAGTCGGGACCAGTCTTCCTGGTCACTGATTTGCACTTGGTAGGAAGGTGCATGATGCTTCCCTAGCGGGGCAGTAGCTATGAGCTTGGCCATCTCTGCTGAGATGATTCCATTTTATGGGTAGTCAAAAGAGGGCGTGTCAAAGAGAGAAGATAAAATGTCATCTTTCATCCTGAGTATTCACTCACTAGGGCTTCCTTCCCATTTACAAAGAAAAGGAAACCAGAAGAGACACCCTGGAAATGAGTGACTGACTCTCAAGGGTCCCGGGTAAAGAGACTATTTAGATCAGCAGCTAGTGACCGATGGGTTGAAAGTCAGTCAATGGGACAAAAGAACGTCAGGTACGGTAAACAAGCTCTGTGCTATAGTTTAATTTTAAGTGAGGGTCTGGATCTGTGGTGTTGGGAGATTCCTGATTCGTTTAATGAAACAAATGCGTTACCCACCCTCGTTTGAAAGCAGCTGACTTTGTGTCGCTCTTCACAGCACGTGTTAGCTACCTCCTCAAATCGAGCAGCAACACTCAGAAGTGTAGGGGCAAAGACAAACGGGTTCCTTCTGGCAATTTCATAAATATAGCTATAAAAAAGTTAAAAATGAAAAAAGGGAGAGAGGAAGGGAAAAGGAAGAAGCAGGGAAGGGATGAATGAATGGTAGACGAGGGACGGGAGGGGAAATGGGAAGGGAAAGAAATGACAGGAAGGGACAAGAAGAGCAAGTTGCAAAACTGAAGGGAAAAGGAAGAAAGGTTTCCCATTATAAAAACTTCAATATAAGGCAGCATTATTCAGTTCCCAACAAGAGTCCTTTAAAGTCCTTATCACTGCAATTGCTCACTGAAAAGCAAGGGTGGTGGCTGGAATGCTAATCCCGAACACCGAGCTATGGCTGTTCTTCTTCCTTCCCCATGCTGCCAGGTGGTGGGCAGTTCTCCCTTCCGTGTTCAAAGAACAGCTGTGTATGCACACTCCATCTGCTCCATCTGAGATTCGGGGATCATATTTACTAATGTTCAAATAAACTTGTGATTTAAGGCTCAGTGAGCACACCAGCTTTCCAGAGAAATCTCTGCTTCTGCAATGACTGCACTATTAAAAACAGATTTTTTTGCTAAACACCCAGTAATTTAATGTCTTCCTGACTTAAAAGCTGCAACTTCCCCTTGGGAAGAATACATCATTTCCTCCGCTGTGCTTCCTAGCAATTTAACACCGTGCAGGCACCTCTGCTCTGGGAGTTATCACATTAGAAGATACATTTCATTGACACAAGGGTCTTAAAGTAGGGTCCGTGTCTTGTTCATATTAATATCCTCAACACTCAGCACAGAATCCGACACACAATACATGTTGAATGAATTAACGAATGAGTCAATCAATCAACCCAGCCATGTTCCTTTAAGATAGATACTGGATTTAGCCTAAGAATAATTCTTTAATTAGATCATTTTTCTACTAAGATTAAACTTACTGATTTAGAAAAGATTTTCTGCTATTTTTAAAAGCCTGGCATTTCTCTTCAGGATCCAGAGTAGGGAAAGGAGGCAGAAATCCTACATCAGCTTTCTTGTTAAAGAAGAAACAGGGTCTTCTTTCAAAGTCAACCTTACTGCAGCAGTGTGAAAAATTATGCTTTTGTGGCAACCCCTCCATAGCACATATTTTTTCCTGTAAAACATTATTCTGGACAATAAAGGGGAAAAGGACAATTTTTAGTCATGGTATTCTCTACCTTCTTAGAAAACACAATGGGCACAATAAATGATCAATGTTACCCTTTGGGAAAGAGATTACAGTTTTCTCACTCTTACCAGCAGAGCATTTTTACCCACACCATTGACAACCATCCCACACTTTGGGAACCTTTCTCTATACTGTCACAAGACCCCTTAACCTCTTACTCTTTCCTTGCTGCCTGTATTTCCCTTCCATCATGGCTTTTCTCTTCATCTCTCAAGGTGGCGATATATGGGTATATCAATGTACTGGGAAAGTGTTTACAAGTAGTGTTTAGTAGTAATTTTCTAGATATGCAGATGGTGACTCTTCTTGGAGGAGGCCCAGAAAAGAAGCTGTGACAACAGAATATATATTGAGAGAGGCAGTTATGGTGAGTGTCTCCGTACTTTAATATGCATTTTCAGGCTACTGGCTTCCTCCTCTGCCTGTATACATATGGCATACTATATACATAAGGCATATGCATACATATTGCAAGTGCATAGCCAACTTCTGTACATCCTAATACAGAATTATTATCTCTCCTGAGGCAAATACCTATCCTAAATACTGAAAGCAAAATAAAAATGATATGCCTAGAGTATCTTCCTTTTCATATTTTCAAGCCAGAAACTCTCTCGATGTTGGCAAAGAATCTTCTGTGTTTAAGAAAGGCAAGCAATTTACTTACAGGTAATTTGAAACACTCTGGGAGTGTCTTGTTAGCCACACATCTATCTTTGTATTCTACCATGTCTTTCACCAGAATTTCCACATCTTCGAAGGTTGCTTCCTGGACATATTGAGCAAATGCAATGATGGCACTGCAACAGTCCACACAGGGAACACCGTGATCATTTGCAGATTTTCCATTTATGTCCAACAAAAACTCACAGGAACATCCCAACTAGACTCAGGAACTTATCTAAACATGAAGGCTATAAATTTTACAACTATTTGACAGTTCAATTGCCTCACTTAAATTTTATAATTAATGTTATATTTACTTTTTTGATATGGTTTCTATTTAATTAAAATACTTCTTTGAAGTGTTGACAGTTCTGGAATGTGTCAGTTAAGATTACAAAAAACCTCATCAAAAAGAGTTTAGCACAACTCACATGTATTCAATATTCTCTTCTATAAATTTCTGGGTGATCCTGGAGTCATCTGAAAAGCAAGAATGTTTAGGTTATTGCATATCCTGGTATTTGAACATTTTCCCAGGAAATAATCATGCATGGCATTTAAGTGTAGAAAGTGTAAAATAGAACACTGATGGTAGAAAATAATTTGGCATATTTAGCAAAAAGGAAAGCAGTCATGTGGTGCAAATAGGAGATCTTAATCACAGCTGATTATGGGCTCAAGAGATATTCATTAAATTTAATTGATTAGAAATAATCCTAAACTGACCAGACTTTAAATTTGTCATTTATGGCCCCCTAGATAATAAATATCAAGTACACACAGCATTTCCATGATAAATGTTTGTCCTTTATGAATAGAGAAGTAATATAAAGATTAGCTGATGGGCAATGTAATGCCATGACAGGGCTCGATGAAAGATGCTCTAATCAGACACTGATATTTAGGTCATCTCCCAACTCACCTAAGATCATGGATTGCCTCCCAGAAAGCATATACTAAACAGAGTACATTTATGTGGGTTCACATAGACTACATTTGTGGAGTCCTTATTTTTTGCAAAACATTATGCTGGACACTAGGAGGCAATCAACAATGGCTAAAACATCTCCCCTGGACCTCAGCTTCCTAAGCACTCTCTAGTGGAAATGACTCGTGGACATGACTATTATCCAACTTGGAATGTGATTAACTATTTGATAGGAATGCTTTATGATTCTTGGGTGAGAAATCAAATCAGGATCATAGAAGGAGTGGTATACGAGTTGATCATGAAAAGATGTAAAAGATTTAGCCAGCAGAAAAATGAAGAGCCTGTCTTTCTGTGTGAGAATTATGGGAGTAAAAGCACAAAAGTGAAAACTCTTGAGATATATTTAGGGAAAATCAATCAATTTTCATGAGAAAGTGGGTCACACAGAGGAATAGTGGGACCTAGGTCAGAAACAGCCTGGGTCCAGATTATGGGAGTCTTGTATATAGAGCTGAGGAGTTTAGCCTCCAATTGGAAGCCATGGAGAACCATTGAAAATGTTTATATAGGAGAGTAATACAATCATTCCTATACACTAAGAAATACCAGTCAGGTAGTGATATATCTAACATATTGGGACCTCCCACAGTGCCTGACAATTAGGAAGTGACAAGAACTGTTTGTCAGATAAATGGATGGAAGAATGGATGGAAGGGAAAAAATAAGACCATTAGGGGACTTTTACAATTTTCCTATTGAGAAATCAGTAGGATCTGAATTTTGGTAGAAGTAATGGAAATAAAAAGGAAAACATAGATAAAAAAGACATTAAAGAGACAAAAATTAACAGGATTTTTTGGAACACGTTTTTACAATAGGAAAGGAGAGAGAGACATCAAAAATGACCATTCTCTTCGAGCCCTCTGACGGGGACTGTACAAAGTGTATCATTCTGCACCCCCTAAAGATGTTTACCATGTAGTTGGTAAAGCTGTTGGACAACCAAAGATCTGCCAGAAAAATCACAACTCAGATTTATTGTTCCATTTTTACCATAAACTATACATAGTTGCAAGAAATACTAATATTTCAAAGTCCAAATTGTATCTCCCTCCAACACTTTCTATCCTGCCACAGGCTACTGACCATTTTCTAGGTGAGATAACTGTCTCTAATTACAGACCTGGTAATATCACCATCAAAATACAAATTCTAGAAAGGTTAGTTTGGGATAACCGATCAGTTTATATAAACTAGTGAGAGGGGGAAAAAAACTGAAGAATTAAATTGAAAGAAAACAAGGTAAAAAATAGAAATTATCCTAATTCTGTCAAGCTTTAGCTGAGATACAAGTAAATTTCTTACCTACATCCTGAGGCTTTGTGGGTAGAGTTAGGGATTCAGTAAAAAAGAACAAGAAAAAAACAAAATCTATAAGTTTTAACTGTTTCATTTTTTTTTTTTTTTTTTAGAAATCACATTCATAAAAGAAAGTAATGTGGCTGAGGAACGTCAAGTTTTTATATTATTCTTTGGCATTACTAGTAAAAAAGTAACCCGTTTAATCGATTTTGAAATACTGAACACTCAATTTTCATTTAGCCACCCTGCAGAATTTCCTGCTAATTATTAACTAGGACAAATCGCCTCTATGTTTCCCTGGAAAAATCTTTTGAGTTAGAAGAAAAGTCCACAGACTAAGTATGCATACTACCTAACCAAATAGCAAGCCCAAAACCCTTGAAATACCATAAAAGTTAAAGGAAAAATGACTAGAATAGATATGATTCAGCGGGCTCCCTTCTGGGCATATATTTAAAGGAAATAAGATACCTGCCCTCCCATGGTCGCTGCAGCATTCATTATTCACAATAGCCAAGAGGTGGAAACAAGTGTCAGTCAACATATGAATAGATAAAGAAATTGTGATTTGTGTGTATGTATATATACATATATACAAACTTATACACACACACACACACACACACACACAATGGAATGCTATTCAACCTTAAAAAGAAGGAAATTCTGTCATTTGAGACAACATGGACAAACCTGGAAGACATTAAGTGAAATAAGCCAGACATAGAGGAAAAAATACTGCATGATCTCACTTTTATGTAAAGACTAAAAAAGTCCAGTTAGAAGCAAAAAGTAAAATGGTGCTTACCAGGGGCAGGAGGTAGGGAAAATGGGGAGATGCTGGTTAAAGGGTACAAAGTTTCAGTTATGTAGTATGAGGAAGTTCTAGAGATCTAATGTTCAGCACAGAAACTACAGTTCATAATATTGCATTGTATACTTGGAATTTGCTAAGAGACTAGGTCTTAAGTATTCTCATCATCTTAAAAAAAGGTAACCATGTGAAGAAATGGATACATTAATTAGCTTGAGAATAGTACTCAGTTTATTACATATATTTATAACAAAACATCACATTGTATACCTTAAATATATATAATTTGCATTAATGATTTTTTTAAAATAAAATGAAAAAAATTTTTAAAGGCAATGGAAGGAAGCCAATCGGACAATTTGACAAATAATGAGAGGGATACATTATCACACATTAAATTTTTAAAAAAGAATTCATGAATTTATATCAATACAAAAGTAAAATAAAAATAGGGGAAGGAAATTTCGTCTCTGCAGAAGAATGCCAACTAACAAATGCAATTAGAAATAAAGCATAAACTTTTGTAGCCGTCATAATAATAACTGCTTTAGCCCAGTTTCATGAATGCATTGGTTAAAATGAATGCATTTGTTGAATGATTGGTGAAAAATTATTGGACGATAGCATATATATAGTTTCAATGTATCACTTCACAGATCACTTATTAATTCCAAAGAGTAAAAGACACTTATACAGGTGAATATATAAACAGTGGTATAGTCATTTTATGGATTATTATTTGTCTTTAAAACTAATGAATATAAAAATGTATAATATCAGGGGAAACATTAACTATATGACATTTAGAGAAAGAACAGAATCTAAACTTTTATATTATATGTAGAAAATGGCAAGGTGAACAGACCCATTAAACCAAAGAAAGGGATGGAAAGAGAAAGACAGAGAGGGACATTGAGAGATCAATTTTGTCTCCAAATTATGCAACTGTGTGGTCAGCATCTTTGGTTGTAGCTGGTGGCTGGTATTGATTGTGTTAACCTCTCATTGCTGCCTCTGTTCTAATTGGCCTTTTGTCAGAGAATTAAAAGAAAAAAAGAACGTATTACTAGGTATATTCAATTATTAGTCAGAGATCAATTTGCTTTTTATTTTTCTTCTCAGGTATGTTTTTTATTTCCAATTACTGGTTCACACCTGGCAATTAGAAGAGAATAACTCCAATTCATCCATTTCACAAATTTAGCCCTCCCTACCATCAGTAAAAATGTGATATTTTTATGACCACATGAAGTAAAATAGTAGTCTGTGCTTAGTTAGTAACTTAATGTATCGAAATTAGTTTTTTTCCCTGTCATTTTCTATTTACCTGGAATTATCTGATTGCTAACTCCCGCATTAATGAGTAATATATTTTGAAACTTGCTCAGATAAATATGCCTAACGAATTTTGCTTCAACAATATGGATACATACATATACATCCAGACACTGGAAAAAAAAAGAGAGAGAGAGGAAGCCAAAGGTATAGTCAAAAGCTTGAGAAAATCCTGGAAACTATAAAACAGATGGGATCACATTGGGGGAATATTAATAGATAAGAGGGAACTTTAGCTCAAAACATGGAAAATGATGTCAGTTCTTCCCAAAAGCATTCTAGAGAGGTTCCAAATCTGAAGAATACAAAGACAGATGTGGACCATGGGGAAATAATCAGGAGAATAAGCTAAAAAGCTACATTCTGAACAGCTAAATTAGAACACCCTCTACCACCACACACATCTCTGTAACATACTTGGGTAACAGTGGCTGGTATCTTTGACAACTAGGTCAGAATCCAAAAATGACTCTTTCTTAGTTTGGATTCCCCAAAAGCAGACTTGTGGACAAAGACTTGTACTATATTTGGAAGGTGACTGGAGGAGGCGCAAGTGAGGAAGTGAGACCAAGAAGGGAGAAAAGTCAATAAGGACGGTGTCAACGAGAACAGTTAACAGTGTAGCAGCTGCGGTATAATCCTGTTGGGAACTGAGAAGTGGAAGATGTCCTAGAATCTCCCCGACAGAGGACCGGGGAGCTGGGCCATCCTTCCATTGACTGAGGTATACATGAGCAAGAAGAATAACCAAGAACAATGAGGGATTCTCCTGGCGACAAGGACACGAGATGTGGGCAGTCGCAGGGGCAAGGACTGGGAGCTGCTGTCTCAGGGGCTCCTTCTCCTCACTCTGGAGCAGAAGAACAGAGCTGTTGAAAATGATGTTAGAGTAAACGAAGACAATCTTACTGAGTTTTATGTCCGCCATGCAATACCGTTGCTCAGAGGGATTTGCCAGAGAATAGGTGGGGGAAAATGATGGAAAAGAAGAGAACACCATGTGAGCGGGGAAAAAAAAAAAATGAGACTGAAAGGAGTAGCACCATAGATGGGTTATAGAAAAGGCGCGTTGTACTTGATGGGGGTTCAACCAGTACAAGCATAAAAGTGAAATAGACAGAGAACGGACATAATGATAGACTCAGTCTCCCCCCAGGAAAGGTCCTCCGGGCTCTGTGAAGTCACCGTCTTTGTCCCCTGTTGGAACTACTCCAGTGAAGTTAAAGCAAGCTGCTCCTAAGGAAGTGGCAGAGGCCATGGATAACCTAAAGTTCCCAGAAGCAAAGAGGAAGATACGACTTGTCACATGGCCGTGAAGGAAAGTTTCCAAAAATGTAAATATAACTGTAACTGTAGTTTTTCAGACAAGTTCATATATACTGACTGTTTACAGAGAGCCTGGTGATTGTGGAATTTTCTTAAGAGGTTTAAAATAGGTTCAGAAAAATAAACGCTTTCCTTCCCTTCCTTCCTTTCCTCCCTTCTTTTCTTTTTTAAAAGTCTTGCCTGTCATGCCCTGATTAGGAAAGAATTTCTTTTTAATCTAATAGCTTAGTATGTGTCATTCCTATTGACCCTAGTCAAACCATTAGCTGCAAGTCTGGTAAAATGCATCTCATGAATTTTAGGAATTACTCTCATTAGCCTCTTTCACAGTGTTTTGGGAAATTAAATTTAAAAAAAAAAA